GCACAATCAGTTTCTCTCTCTACAGTGTATGCTGCCTTAAACATATGCTATTATAAGAGGCACCCCAATTAATGATACATATACTTCCAATCCTTCACTAGATTTGAGGATATCTGATGATCCTGGGCCCTGCCTTCTTATTTATAGCTTTAGTGCCCTGAAGAGCTCTAAGTATGTAATGAGTATTTAATCAATGCTTATTAAACATACCTCTCAATCATACAGTCAATTGTGTTTAAGAAAATGGCCTATCAAATAACCATAATGACCCAGAAGAATTTTTGTATTGTAAAATATCACACAATTTTTGTTTGATAGTTTTAATTGTTTTAAATTGGCATCTCCTGTAATAAAAGAAACTCATAAATGCTTTGAAAAGAAAGTCAAGGAAAAGTTCTAACATTTACTTGACATTACTAGAAGCTCACACTATGCCAAGAATATGTGTCATGGTTAATTATGTGTCAACTTGGCTAAGGTGTTGTGTACAGTTGTTTGGTAAAACACCAGACTAGATGTTTTTGCTAAGTGATTTTTAGATGTAATTAACATTTAAATCAGTACATTAATAAAGTAGATTAACCTCCTGCTTTAATAATGTGGGTGGGGCTCACCCAGTCAGTTGAGGGCTTAAGAGAAAAGAAAGAGGTCCCTGGAAGAAGGGAAGAAATTCTGCCTCCAGGTTGCCTTGAAACTCAAGACTACAACATCAAAAACATTAACTCTTGTTAGAATTTCTAGCCTTTCAGCCTCTTCTGCAAATTTCGGACCTACCAGCTTCCACAATCCTGTGAGCCAATTCTTTAGAACAAATCAGTCCCCTCTCCTCATTACTCTTACTTAGATAACACAATATGACATCATTCACACATCACAATCAGCTTTTGAGGCCAGGATTATTCCTATTTTTGCACAAAGTTATTGATACTCTGAAAGCTTATGTATCTTACATGGTGGCTGTAGCAGACAGCAATACTGTTTGTTCACCAATAATCTATCTCTCCTAGGGTGAGCAACTGTTCTCATTTGCCTAAAACTGTGGTTAGAGAAGACAGAATGTAGGAATCACAAACTCAAACCAGGAACTGAGACTTACAGCTCTTTCTCTAAGCGTTTAGCGAACAGTTGCAAGACAGAGACCCTCTTAGGATGGAAGAGAAATTTCCATAGATGCCATTGTACTCAGAAGAACATAGATCGAGGAATTGTTGGTTAAACCCTTGAATAATTATTTTCTCTTTCAAAGCTTCAAGTCACCTATCTGTGAAGTAAAGGTGTGTACCACATACTTACTCTCTTTCCTCTCAGCCCTGACATTTTATGGTTGGACACATCCTCCTCAGTATCATCACAGATGCATCTCCTAGATTTTCTTGATCACCAGAAAGCAAAAAAGAAAGTCTAAGATAAACTAAAAGTTCAGACACAATAAAGAATACACTAACAAGTTTGTTAAGGTTCTTTAATTGGCAGAATGCATTAGGGTAAATGTGAATGGCTTTGTAGAGTTCCTCATTTCCTGCTTATCTCATTAACAATATTTGTATCTTAAATGACTTGACTTTTAGTTTGTGGTCAAGAATACATAAGGATAGTTAAATAATTATAGACAGTATGTGTTCTTTACTGCAACTGAGCCAGACTTGATGGGAGATAATATGAAGACAACCCAACTCTAGCCAAAGCTCTTTCCCTGTGCACTTCTCACCCGACTGTCATGGTGTACACAGCTCAACTGTTCACAACCCTCTTGGACTTGTCTGACAGCCACCACTTAAATGCAAGTGTCCCGCAGCATCCTCTTTCTGTCAGGACCGAGGCAGATTTGAATTTCTTCTGTTGTAAAGTGTGTGCATTTTAACAGCTTTTTAATTGAACGATTCTCTAAAAGTACATTAGGAATTTTTGTATCATATGCTTTTATGTTCAGACACAAAGATTTATTTATGTTAAATTTCTAGATGATGTCAGAATTGCAAGAGTTCTTCATGGATGAATCAACAGATTGAGAGAACTGAACGAATTTATCTAAAGCCAAATAAACTATTTGTTTGCTAACATTTGATGTGTGCAGAGCTCTATGATGGGGCTGAGCATGGAAGAGAGATGCGACATGTTCTCCAACCTCTGTGAGACTGGTGCTATATCTCAGCCATGAATTGATTCTTTAGGTTAAAGAAGAGAAATCAAATTCTGCTTGAAATATGTGGCAAAGTTGTCAAAAAAGAAATTTTGAGAATAAAAAATAATTCTCTATTGCAAGCAGAGAGGGAGCACATGCCAGCAAAGGCCTATAAGTAGAAAGAACATAGCATTCTTAGGAGGCAGAGAATTTTTAGTAAAGTTGAGAACTTTGACAGAACATTATAATAACCTGGGGAACTATAAAAAGTATAAACGCTGAAGGCCATACCCAGACCTTCTGCCTTTATTGAAAGTAGGTGGAAATTCAAATTGCCTTACACTTTTCAATAGTATTGAGTACATCAATTCCTTATAAAATGGGGAAGAACAAGTACCCCAAAAGTCCCATACATGAAGAAGAACTTGGAGGCCTTCTTATCCACTCCTGTGATTTTTACAAAGAAGATGAGAACTAAATAGAATTTATTTACCCATAAACATATTGAAAATTTCAATTGAGGCTGGCATAGTCTCAAAACATTTTTATACTCTCTTCTTACAGGATTAGTTGGACAAAGTTGGGTCTCATTAATATGTGCTGATTGGCAATATTTATTTCCAAGCATGAGCATATGTAATCTGATAACCACCCATTCTTAACCAGTATCTGTGTTAACTAAAGTTGGTTTGGTCAACTCAACCAGGCTTCCCTTGGAAGAAGCTGTTCTAACTGTGTATTAGTCAGCTCTGGCTGCCATAACAAAATACTATAGACTGGGTAGCTTCAATAATATAATAAGTTGTTTGTGGTGGCTGCAAGTTCAACATCAAGGTACCAGCAGGGTTGTTTTCAGTTTCTGGTGAAGATTCTTCTGAGCTGTCAGACTGCTGCCTCCTTGCTATGCTCTCACATGGCTTTTCCTTGGCACAGAGCTCTCTGGTGTCTCTTCTAAATAAGGATGCTAATCCTATTGGATAAGGGCCCCACCCTTATGTCCTCATTTCATGTTAATTACTTTTATTTTTCTTTTGAGATGGGGTCTTACCCTGTCATCCAGGCTGGAGGGCAGTGATGGAATCTTGGCTCACTGCAACTTCTGCCTCCCAGGCTGAAGCAATCCTTCCACCTCAGCCTTGTGAGTAGCTGGAACTACAGGTGCATGCCATCACACCAGGCTAATAATTTGTACTTTTGGTAGAGATGGGGTTTTGCCACTGCCCCACCTGTAAGCACTCTTTTAGAAGATCCGTCTCCAAATACGGCCACTCTAGGGGTTAGGGCTTCAATCTATGCATTCTGGGGTGATATAAACATTAAGTCTAGAACAAACCACATAAAATATTCATCAAGCTTGTGTTTTTCATTCTGTACACAAGCAAATATTTAAGCACAGGATTTTTAAAGGGAGTGAGGGTTGACTCTGTTTATATTATTGAGTTTGATTTTCTTTTTGTATATAAATGCCTTACACTTAGTAGATTAGGATACATTTTGCCTGAAATCACCTTGAATGTTTTGCTCTTGCATGACTGGCAGGTTGTAAGATAGGAACTAGGCTCTATGCACAGATCCATCTGGCTTTTCTTGCCTATCTGATGTAAAGTTTTAAAATAAGACTTGAATTATAAAATATCCTAGGTATTCAATACCAGACTGTTTAAATAATTAAAGATTCATAGCTGGCAACAAAAAATAGAGCATTTGGACTTTGGAGTAGACAAAACAGATTTTAAATCCTGGCCCCCTTCCACACTCTGAAAGAATGTGGAAGTTACATAAGTCCTGTCTGAACATCAGTTTCCTCTTACATGCACATTGAGTAATATGAACTTCATGAGTACTGTGAGGATAAACTATATTCATTCAACCCCTAACCACTATCAATATTTATACTGTTTAACAACTAGTAAGATATGGGTATTGCCCAATCATAATAGATAGTGTCCAATGGAAAACAAAAACAAAAATAAAAAAACAATAAACAAACAAAAACTATAGGTACACTTCAGCCAAATGGCGAATTTTTGTTCAATCATTGGCCTGAATGAACGTAGGTATAGGTGCAGAAAATGCAGAAAGCAATAGAACAAGATCTATATCTTAAGAGATTCAACGTATACTGAGGAAACGTCAGACACATAACAGAATAAATGCAATGTAGTGTTATAGATAATATGATAATGTTGTGGTCTAGATATTTGTCTCCCGTGACAACAAATATAGACGTGGAATCCTAACCTTCAAGGTGAAGGAGATAAGAACTTTGGAAGGTGACTAGGTCATGAGGGTAGAGCCCTCCTAAATGGAGTTGGTGCCTTCATAAATGGAGCCCTAGAGAACTGTTTTGCTCCGTCCACCATGTGAGGACACTGTGAGAAGCTGCCATCTATGAACCAGGGATAGCCCTCACCAGACACCACATCTGCCAGCACCTTCATCTTGGACCTCCAGCCCCCAGAACTATGAGAAAGAAATTTCTGTTGTTTATGAGCCACTCAAAAATTGTTTAGTTGTAGCAGCCTGAATGGACTAAGACAGATAGACAGTATGTGATGAGTGAAAGTGACTCGTATTAGCCTGGCATATAACAGGCTGTCTTCTCTTCATGTTTGCCTGAATAGGGAAGCCACTTTTGCATCATCATGAGATTAAGCACTATTTTATCTAACATAAGCGGGAGGGAGAGAGAAAAATCAGAAGGCAGATACTACTCATATTATGAATAAAATGAAACCAATTTTAAAAATCCAGCTCATTCTAGTCTTCCTCTTGTACTGCAGTGCATTGCTTTAGCATGCTACCCTCCAGGCATGTGTAATTTGTCACTGTTACCCAAACACATAAGTAATCTCAATAATACAAAAATAATAATTACCTTTTATATCCAGTGAACCAAGCGTTGCACTACCCATTTTATGTCTGTCATCTCATTTAATCCTCTTTGAGGCTGCTAAGAAGACAGTATTATATCTACTTGTTCAGTGTTGACGCTGAAGGTCAGAGGGGTGGAGTGAATGCTCAAGGTTTATTTCACTGATGGTCTGTTCAGGATGGTAACTCAGAACCAAATCCACCTGCTCATTCAGTGCTCGGATTTGGTTCCAAGTTACCATCCTGGATACACCCAGTGACTTCCTAGAGGCTGCAGGGCAGCCCAATCCCTTGCTTGTTTCTCATCTTATGTGGACTCTTTGAAACAAAAGACAACTCTTACCTAAAATAGGGCAGTATCATAAGACAGTGCAGGTAAAAAGAAACAATGTCATATTATGACAATATTTAAGGAAATAAAAATTAAATATTTTATAGCACCAGAAATATGATTACTGAACAAATCTTTTCATTATGTTGATATGTAAGGGCATAGAGAAGAGAGGAGACACTTGTTGAAAAGGGAGATTTTAGTGTTATCCTTGTATGTATAGTGATGTGTAGTCTGCACTACTGAAAAAAAGTGATGTGAATGCTACCAACTTGGATTCCTTGGGCACAAATATATGCTTTTAAGTAGAAGTGTTACTAACAGAAAAAAAAAGCATTCTTTATGACTGCAGGCTTACCCACCAAAATGAGTCTAGAGGTTCTTTATTTTACAGTCTGACACAGAAATCCTTCATGTTGCCTCCTAGGCAGCAACACAAGAGTGTTGTCCCCTAAAGACTGGCCATAGAAGGGGTGCTCATCAGTCCGGGCCCACCTGCGGTGGTTAACAAAGGGCCCGTGGGGCTCAGTCTCTGATCTCATTTCTCTGTAGCCAATGGCAATTTTTGTTTTTCCACCCATGGCTTGGGTTGACCTGAACCTGCTTTTGTCTGGCTCAATCACAGACTTCCCAACCTCTAGTTTCACCATCACGTTTCCAGGATTCCTCAGTTTTTGTGGCAAATAGCATGCTGTGATCAAGCGTGCTTTTGATGCTATGACTGGTGGCCCCTGGGATATTTGGGGGTTATGTGATTTAATCATACCAGAGAATTTCTTTGTTCCTCTGCCTATTCCTTGCTCCTGCCTGGGCTGGACGGTTTGGTGGTTACTATTTATTAACTTTTGCAATGTAACCATATTGCATTTCAGGGTCCACATAATAGGCCAACTATTAATTATAATATTGAAAGTCAAACTGAAGTTCAGGGCCAAGCCGAGGTCAATTTCTGTGTGCCAGGACAGAAACCACCAAAAGCCAAGCTGAGCTAGAGTTGGGATGACAAACAGCAACTAGAGGAAATCAGAACTGGAAAAACTGTGGGGGAGAATCGAACCAATGTCCAACTTGGCTAAAGATGTAGTCTTGCCATCAAGATTTACTGCAAAGGGCAAGAGTCATGTTTCTCAGCTCATGCCGTGGGCTTTGTCAACCCTGCTGCCTATCAGCTGGTAGCAAGAAGCAAATCACCACAACCATGAGCTCCTACTCCCGGCTGATGCTTCCCTTCACTGAAATGATAAAATGATGGATTTTGCTCAGATTGCATAATACTCATATTAAAATAGGGATTGGCTAATAATGGAGATTCACTAACAATCAAGAGGACTTACATTCATACACATTATTTCCTACAATGCCCACTCTTAAAGCAATATGAAGCTGCTTACAGTAAACACTGTAGCTACAATACATTTATTAAAACGAGATGAAAGTGCACATTAGCAAGTAATGGAATAGCAATAGACAGAGAGGCCAATGAAATGTGAGTTTCAAACCTGAGGCTTCTGGCGGCACCTGCAGACAAAATGAAAGGCATAACTGTCAAATGAAACTTATCATTATGACCTGCAAAAGAAATCACTTGGATGGGAAAACCACTACATGCCAGCAACTGATTACTTTATGCAATCATCTCATCAGTGTCACATTTTAAAAGAGAGGAAGACAGACAATTTATCCCAAGTCACAGCAGCAGTAGAGGAAAAACTAGATTTGAGGGAATAGTATCCATGGTCTCATGTCTATCTGCTTTACCCTAAACAGAGGCTGCTTCCCCATGGGGATATAATCAGGCCCTGACACAAAGATCAGCTTACAAAGATCAATTCAGTTATCCTAATTTGTTTTAATCTTGTTGATTTTCAAAAGTCCATTTGTTAATTTACTTAACGTATTCATTCCGTTTCTGTAGATGATGAGACAGCTTTGCCCTCTGACCTCAAGGAACTTACTAGTAGAGAGAAACATATAATGAATATACTATTAGAGCAGATGCCCAGTGTATGATTTTTCTGATGATGAGAAAGATGATGAAGAAAAAGATGATGATGATGGGACAGTGATGGTGACGGTGATGTCACAGAGAGGCAAGAAAGGAAAGGAAGAGGAAAAGAAGGGGAGAGGGAAGAGAAAACAGAGAAGGTGCACGAAGAAGGGCGAGGAAAAAATCTAGTTGTTTTTAGACATTAGTCTAGGCAAATGCCACGTCTCCACACATCTCCTGAGTCCTGGAGCCATGCCCCCAACCTCTTAAGTTCTTTTTTATTTTTAGCTCCAGCAATCAAGATTCAGGCTTAAGCTCAAAGTCCATTTCAGCATAGTTCACTAAGTTACTTCACGTGAGACGATCTGATTAAGTGCATTGTCCCTTTTCTTTACTTAATCTTTACAAAAAGCCATCAGAAATACTCCTCTATGCACTGCATATGATAGAGACAATGCCATGGCTGAAGCAGACCCTGGAACAGATGAAGATGAGCTTCAGAGGAGGATGAGCTGCCACCACCTTCCCTTCTCAGAGCCACTGCTGAGCAATGGAGCATCTGTCCTTGCGAGAGGTGTTGGAGGGCAGGAGCAAGTGAGCAAATATGACTCTTACAAAAAAAGAGTCAATTTCTTCCAGTGTACATGTGGCTGCATTAGTAATGGTGAAGGAAATGGATAACCAAGATTCATCTGCCACTTGGGAAAGTGCATGCAGAATGGTCAATATACTAGTTTGCTTTAATTATGGGTTAGATGCTATGTGGAAAATGTAAAACTCCTGACGCTCCAAATAAGACAGCTAATATTCTACCTGCTGTGAATTTCAAGCATTATATCTTAGCAATTTCTTTTGGAAAGAGCCCAGGGCAAATTAGAGAGCAGTAAGTTCTTAGAATCCAGCCCTAGTCTGCAGAGGTGGGGTGTCCCCTTCCCCATAGCAGCCAGGATGTTCTGATGGTGTCATCCTCCTGACCCTCCTACAGGCTACCACTTGCACTGGGGAAGAATGGTTCTCAACTGCATCTTGAATTGACAGAGCAAGCTTCTGATCTTTGGCCTGCTCCCCACTGGCAGTGTAAACTTCTCTGTATTACTTGATTTTTCTGAACCTAAGATGAGCCCAAAATCAGTAGTAGCAGTGGCGCTGGAAGAAATAAAGAAGTGGAAAGAGAAGTAATAATAACATCCAATTAATTGCCTATCACTTGGCTTACTGCCTGGCATTAGCAGTAATCATTACCCCTGCACTTAAAAATAGATATCTTTCTCTTCGTTTTTAGATGAAGAGAGACTGAGACTCAGATAGCAGTTGCCCAAAGCCTCAGAGTTGGTGAGTGGCATGGCCAGGACTTGAACCCTACTAAAAATCTTTTTCGGCTGCCTCAGCCTTCATTATGTAATGCTGCCTACCTATGGCATTCCTGCGGTGACTGGTTGGATGCAAGGGAAAGCAGGAAGCCCAGGGTACCTCTCAGAGTTCTGATGTTGGTGGGCAATTCTCTGGGAAGATGGACGGGAGAAATACAAAGTCCACATGGGCAGCCATGGTGTGTCTGGGTTTCAGAGGACAACCACACCGTTGTCCTTCCGTGTATTGCTGTAGCTCACTGCCCCTTCCATCGGCCTTCTCTAAATGCAACCTTTGGCTTCACCTACCTTCCTCCCAGTCTTTTCTCAACTGAACACAACCTGGTGTGTTCCCTCACTTTACAAGTGATAGTATGTACTCTCAATCTCCCTAATTTTTGAAACACCACTTCCGTTTTGGTTGTATGAACCACACTTCCCTGTTCTCTTTCTATCTCTGATCGCCCTGAGACATAATTGCTGGCAGCTTGTCATCTGGATGCTTTGATCATGTCTCTGGTCTTTGCTATAAGTCTTCTCCTCTCCTTTCCTCTCTTCGGTTCTTTTCCCCACTGTTAGGTCTCCCCACATGCTCTTATTAAGCTATCTTACATACGTCTTTGGAGCCAATTATCACTGTGAACTGCTATCAATGCCTCCCCAATATCTGTCATGAGGTAAGCGGTCAACATCACTTAAAAATTTTTCCTGGTAATAAATAAGTAAATTATCACTAGGTAAATGGATGTAAATGTCTAACAACTGGAAAGGGGCTCTGATTTAGAAATCTGTGTCTCAGATTTGTCTTATTGAGATGATGCTTAAAGCTGAAGAACTGGCTGAAATCAGCCAGGGAACATGTGTCAGGAAAACAAAGTCCTAAGGAATACTAACAGTTACAGGAAGAAGAGAGAATGGGGGTCTCTGGGAGAAATCACAGTTACCAAGATGGTAAGAGTGAAGGGCTGAGGACATGCAATGCTAGAAGCCAATGGAAGTAAGAGTTTGGTGGCAGAGGGGTGGTTGACTGGCTCTGAAGGCCCAGGAAGGGCACAGAAACATGCCCTTTTGAGTTGGCAGTGGGAAGATCACTGCTGCCTCAGGGTGGGGACTTTTAGGGCCACTATTTTCCTGTCAGGCCAGGTGCTTTTATGCCTCTAAGTCTTTGCACATTCCATTCTCCTACATCTAAATTGCTATTTCATTCTCCGTTTCTGTTTCTGACAAGCTTATATTCATCCTTTAATGCTTGCTTATTTAGCCAACAAATATTTATTAAATGTTTACCATGTGAGAGGCATTGCTTTGAAATCCCTCAAATGTCATTTCCTTCATGAGAAATTCCTTCACCAATCCCCCACGTGGATGCAAACGTTTTCTTTTCTGTGCAACCACAGCCCCCCTGTACACCTCCAACCAAAA